CATTGGCTTTAGAAGTTCCTTCCGAAGAATTTTCACTTCTATCACGCAATCTGGATTCTTCTTCAATCCGAAGATATTTTTGTAATTATTCCAAAGAATAATCTTCTGAACTATGCATTATTTTCTTTCGGTATCCTTTCCAAGCCCCGGGAGTTTAGCAATTATAGCTCCCACTTGAAAGGTCTCGGGAATTTCAATCTTTACCGCTTTTAATTTGTTGACAATAATTTGTAACTCATGTACTTGAGGAAAAAGGAGAATATTATCTAAAAATTTAAAATCAAAGTACTTTGAAATTAAAAATTTCTTAGTACCTTCTTCTTCCGCTTTATACTTACTCTCCAAAGCATTCCAAATTTCCTTTGCCGAAGTAGTATTTGTATATAAATCATATAGACGATCTGATAGCGCATTCAAAATATGACCGCGGCAAATTAATTCATCTTCTTGCTTTTTTTGTCTTTCGGCCCTAACTGTTCGGTTTCTTCATTTGTGGGCTCCGGTAGAGGCGTCAACTCGAGATCTAAGATGTAGAAGATCTTCAAGGCAGTAAGAAGAAACTTCAATTTGTCTTGCCAACGCGTGAAATTTGTGCCGTCGAACCGATCCAACCGCACCAAGTCTTGATTCATAAGTTTTATGGTTGCTATTGTAGTTTCGTTCTCCATAGCAACTTCAAAATTCGTTTGAGATTGTTGGAAGTAGTTTCTCCACCAAGTGGTTAGAGAACGAATTACAAATGTAGATGAAAGAAAATTAGAAGATGAAGAATATAAAACAAATGTAGGAAGGCTCAAACACGATATGTGATTGTTGTCCTCAAACGAATTTTGCCCCCACTAAAAAAGATTATAGTGCTTAAAGGGTCATCTGGCAAAAGGTTTGAAGAATTGATCAAGCCTTGTAGAGATTCAAACACTAAGCACTTATTTGACTCTCTAAGAACACAAATGGAAAAAGAATATGGAAAAACATTGTTTATTTTTTGTTTCTTCTCTCTTGTTTGATCTTGTAAACATGTACTTTATAAGTGTTTTTTCATGCATTTGATGATCCAAAAATCACCTATTTATAGCCATGCAACATAGCTTCACGAAATGGTACCAAAATAAAATGAAAGGCTGCCAAAAAACCACCCAAATCGACTCCAACGGTCACCGAACTTATACCATGCGACCGCATGGTGAAAATCCATGCAGTCGCATGGTTAGTTTGAACCGAGGCCATTTGGCCTCAGTTGGTTGCCATGCGACCGCATGGCTTTTAGCTATGCGGTCGCATGGTTTTGAACAACCATCACAAATATTGGGTTGTAATATAGTAAACTATGCTTTCCACAACAGTAACTTGCCAATATGATTCTGATTTCTCAAATATCCAATAAAATGGAAGGAAAAATAAAAGCCAGCACATTGAACAATTACAACAAAGCAATAAATGGTGAAAACACCTATTACCAAGCAATTATTGCAACAAAGTACACACATTTCTGATTTTCTGCAATAACTGTACCTGCAAATAAGTCATCAATCTTCTAAAATTTGTGTCAAAAAGGAACAAATGGTAAAAAAAAATCCCCCCCCCCCCCCCCCC